TATTTATATTAATATAATTTTCATGCTCTTAGGGTTGTGTCCTATGTCGATCTAACGACATCGTGCAATATGACACTCATAATCATATAGCATGCTTAATATGGAAAACATCATCATATTAAGGTAAACGTCATGCAATCATCATACTCATCATATTGCCATAGAGTGCCTTAAGCATATCAAGTATGTCGCTCATCCAAATATATATATATATATATATATATATATATATAGCAAAAGCATCATAACTCAAGCTTCATAAATCGTAACTCATACATCATCATATGCTAGTATACGACATCATACGATACAACTCATTCGTCATCGTAACTCATACATCATCATACACCAGTATATGACATCACACGATATAGCTCACACATCATCATATTCATACAATTTCTAGCCTATCCTATACTAAGGTCACTTACCTGATTAGCTTAGGCTGGTGTCACTAATCTATCCTTAATGAAAGTTTGATTTCTGTTTTTTTTATCCAAGTCAACCTACGTGGACCCATGACATGAATTACAAGTTCAATTCTCTATATTTTACAATGCTTCATGTGTTAGACTTCATCCGAGCATCAGAGACTTTGTCTTGGAATATATATATTTGTATATATAATTTTATTTTTATTAAAAATTTCATTTTCTTTTATTACTACTGTTTTTTCTAGAAGATATAGTTGTTGTATTCTCTACATTCTTGACTCAAAAGACGTTCCTTTTCATGACCTATCATCTATTCTTCTTCGAAACTAGGTTGGATTTGAATATTTTTTACTCCTTGAATCACATATATAATTTTAAAAAATAATTAATCATCTCCAAATCTTTGTTTTCTTCTATCTCTATTCCAGGTTTTTCATGTAAATCAATTCCACACTCACTTTTTTTTCTTAAAAAAAATAAATAAATAATGATCCTGACCGATTTTTTATAACAATAACTAAAATCTAAATAACTACAACCATATAAAAGAAAAAGAAGAGTTTAGGGATCCATTTTTCTATAGAAGGCAAATATCCTTTTTCTCTGACAAATAAATATACCTTTTTTTTATGTTATCTTTCTCTAGACGGGGAAGGAGTTTTGGAGAGATAGTTATACATTCTCACCCATATATATCAAACGACAAGTTTTTAGAGATAGAAGTTCATAATTCGTATCAAACACATAGTAAAATAATAAAAAATTTCTAAGTTAATTGATTTATAAAGAGAAATTATATATTACGTGATCTAATCTTATACAGCTATTGTGTAGAATATTCTTATTCTTATGTCTTCATACTTAAGATTTGGATCCAATCATCTGTTACAATTATAAAGTAAGTCGTATCAATGTTGCTGTCAGAAAAATATACTCAACTTTATTCATTTACAGTAAAGTATTTAGGTTATTTCTTGAACGTGATGCTCTTATATACCAATCACAGTGTTCAAATTACATATGGTTCAAGAATTTTAGTTAATTTTTCATAAATGTATAATGTTAAATTGAAATTAAAATAATCAAAATTATTATTAAAGCTAAACCATAAAAAGTGAGTGTAATGACCTTAAATTCCACATACTTAGAGTCGTAAATAACGTCTCATGCTCATCTCTAATGCGGAAATGTAACTCTTAAAATGAACATCATTTATAACATAAACTTCGAAAATGCTTAAAACAACTTCTTCTCTAGAGAACACAGCAATGGTCTTATGTGTTTAAATACAAAATACTGAAGTTTAGAGAAAATAAAAACAAATACAAAATAATTTAAAACGATAAAATGCATAACAAAATACTTGAGACTGGAATTTAAATGTGTCACCCTATGCACGTGCCACAGTCTCTGCTTGCGATGCCGCCGTCCTCTGTACAAGTGCACCTTGCCTTTACCGATTTTAGGTCAAACGGTAATGACAAATTATGCCATCTATTTTTAATTAACTTTATTTTTTTTTTTCCCTCTTTCTTTAATTGATTGGTCAATTTTACAAATTTCATATTAGATATATGTATTTATTTTTTTGTATTCTTTAAATTTTAAATTATTTTATGATTAAAATTCTAACTAAATATGTTTTAACTAATAATTTTTTTGGGATCGTAAAAAGTTATTTAATAATAAAATTGATTTCAATTTTTAATTATATTGAAATGTTTTCTTTAACTCAACCAAGAATAAATGATGCAATAACCAAACATTCAACCTCTAACCACACCAAGAAATTGCTATTTTTCGTAATACATTCTCTAATATCATTGAAATAAGATGTATATTCATTTATTTTGAACAATTAAACTGTGGATTTGACGGTGAGAACACCAAAGGAAGGGTATCTCATCTTGAAAGTCTCATATGGCTAGCTACTGTTCCCAGTTATGTATAAGATCGAAAGTACTTTGAGGAATGTTGAGCAAATAAATGCCATTATCTCTAGCATACCAAAGGCAAGATTGAAAATTGCAATGCGAAGCAAGCCACTCGCTTTTCTCTCTCCAAAATACTTCGAAGCTGGCGTGTTGGTTGGTTGGAGTTCTTAGGGTACACCAGAAGAGCGTAGTCGAAGTCATATTCTCCTTGAATTGCCATTTATAAGTCTGACCACTTGTTACATTATGGTCACCCAAATCGTCATCTTTTGATTTGCAATGAACGAACAAGACCTGATTTTGACCAAGCTCGTTCACAATCCCCACGGTCCATTCACTTAGTGGCCTCATAGCTTTTGAGTCCACTGAAGCTAAGCATGGCGTTCCATGCATCGTCAAAATAAAAACAAAAGATGAAATCACAAAAAAGTTGAACGTAGAAGAGTTCATTGTAACCTTTTGCTTAATTTCTCACTTGTTTGAGTGATGTTGGTGATTTGAATTGATATTCAATTTATAGATGAATTTTTTTATCATTATTTAAAAAAAAAATCAATACTTTTTACTCTTATGGAAACCACGCTTTTTTTATTAAAAAAAAAAAAACATAACAAACATAGACAATTAGGGAGGTAATTCATTTCATTTTTTTTCCATAACTAGGTATGTAATTTCTACCCCTACAAGTTTAGATTATGTTAATCTATAGTTAATCTCTCTCTAATGGGTGTGATATGAGTTAACCACCTTCTTAATTTACTAAAATTTATATCTTAAATTAGTTACAATATAATTAAAATCTAATTATGAATTATATAAAAATAGGATCCTCCTTCCGCATGTTTCTTAAATGAAATTTTAATTAAATTTGATGTTTGAGAATCCAATTAAAATAAGAGGTGGCCCCTTTCTAGTCTTACTCCTTCCTGTGGTCTTGGTCTTACAAACTAAGATAGCATCATATTGAAATATCACACAACATGCTACACATCACATCATACTCTTAAATAAATAAATGAAATATCACATCAATTTCAGTAATGTTAACATAAAAATGCACGAGTGTTTGAAAACGTTTCTCTTTTCTTATCTTGTACAAGGCGTACCTGACGGTGACGAGACATCGACGTTGGGACCATGGAACGTGTCAAACCTACACCGTAGGCTAGTCTACAAAATCTAAAATTTTGCTCTATTGCCAAATGTGACGACCCTAAATTTCTACATACTTAGAGTCGCAAATAACGTCTCATGCTCATCTTTAATGCGGAAATGTAACTCTTAAAATGAACATCATTTATAACATAAACTTCGAAAACGCTTAAAACAACTCCTTCTCTGGAAAACACCACCATCATCTTACGTGTTTAAATATGAAATACTAAAATTTAAGGAAAATAAAAACAAATACAAAATAATTTAAAACGACTAAATGCAAAACAACTTATTCTAACCTACTCATTTAGACTTAATTAATTTATTTGGTTAAAAGAGCCAAAAGTGTATATATATACATATATCACTCACTCCTGTTTAAATGGATGATATTTTTTAAACAAAGTATTGTTAGTTTTCATCCAAAACGAAGGATATGAGTAGTTGTTAAACTTGTTTAAAAATTTAAGGATATTATTGAAAATTTTAAAAATTTTAGAAATATTTTTTAGATACGGTATAAAGTTTAAGACAACGCCCATCCCTCAAATTCGATCGGTGAGTTTCACATATTGGTAGTAAGAGGGCGCTTAAACCCGAAGGGTGGAGACTTATAGGGAAGGGTCCAGGCCAATAAGGACAACACACCCCACATCAAGCCCACTTCTATATTGATTTTGAATTTTTTCTAACCGCTGCCACACATGAGATCCCGATCATGTCCACAACGAAGGAGAATAAAAAAAAAATTTGGACCATTTCTTGATTTGTGCGTGTCATCCTTGTGCAGGGGCCATGCTAATCTTCTTTGTATCGTTCCAATTTTATCGAATTTCACGGAAGGGACAATTTTATGCTTCTACCATGTTCTTTATATAGGATGTGTGAATTGTTCTCCTAAGCCATGTGGGATTCCTATTTAAAGCCCAGCATGGTGATAGAATACTATAATAAATATACCCCCAACCCCACATGGAAAGAGCAATCAAGTTCTAAAACCCTTTAGAGGCTACTCGAGTTCATTGTTGAAATGATTTCTTTTAAGTTTTAAAGCACTATCAATTCAATCAAGCAATGGAATCCATTTTAACGTTCTTTATTTTTTTTTTATTAAAATATTTATTTACGTTCTACCAAAAAAACAAATTTAAAATTATAATAAAATTTGTAGTCTAAGTGATTATGATGCATTTAATGCATCTCTGTCTTGAAGCTCAATTTTGCACAATAGGTAGGGAATGACTACAACATCTTCTAGAATTTTCATTAACGAACTTACCATAACTTGAATATAATTGATTAAAGCTCGCTATAACTCCCTGGATCTTGTTCTTGTAATTGGACTTTGGAGTATGGAAATTCCTTGATCTTGGTTCATATCATTCTCTCCCTCTTAAAAAGGGTTCAACCTCAAATCCCAACCTAACACCATACTCACCTGGTAAATTAATTTTAGAAACATTGTCGTTGATACACTCAAAGAACTATGAAAGGTCCATTTCCTTGTGGTAAAAGCTTAGATTTTCTTTGAGTAGAATGTTTTTCTTTTCGAAAATGCACCCAAATCCAATCGATTGGCTTGAACATGATAATCTTGCATCCCTAATTAATTGAGGAAGCAACTTTAGAATTTTGCTTCTAACTTATTCTTTTACTTTACTTGGTTGTGTTGTTTATTAAGAAATTCAACTTTGGAACTTGCATCAAAATTCACAATTTTTTTTCGGGACATACATAACAAATCAATGAGAATTAAAGGATTAAAGCCATAAACGATTTCAACCGATGTGTATTTAGTATTGCTGTGAACAACCCTATTATATGCAAATTCGTCTTAAGATTCTTATAAATAATATCTCTAAGCATAACAGTCATGGTTCTGTTAACAACCTCGGTTTGTCCATCCGTTTGAGGATGACAAGTAGTTTAATGTACTAGCTTAGTTCCTAAATTACCCCACAAAACATGCTAGAGTGACTTAAAAATTTAACATCGTCACTAACTATGCTTTTAGGAATCCCATGCAATCGTACAACTTCCCTGAAGAATAAGTGAGAATTATGTTTTGCATTATCAGTTTTTTGACAAAGAATAAATGAATCATTTTACTAAATCGATCAACCACAACAATGATGTTATCACAATCTTTCCTATTCCTATGTACAACGGAAACAAAATCCGTTGATATATCAATCTAATGATCATTAGGAACAAGTAGTAGAGAATATAAACCATGTGGTTGAAGCCTAGGAACGAGCATAGAACACGTCTTGATAAAACAAATCATTTGTGTTAAAAAACCCAACAATTTAGCATTCAAAGTATTGAGGAGGACAAAACTTCGTGATAAAACATTTGCAACAATGTTCTCCTTACCTTGTTTATATTTTATGATGTAAAGAATATTTCAATAAATTCCAACCACTTGACATGTCGTCTATTGAGTTTATTTTGTCCTCTCAAATACTTTAAACTTTCATGGTCCGTATGAAAACAAACTCCTGAGACCAAAGATAATGTTGCTAGGTATGCAATGCACGAACCAACATAAAGCTCTTTGTTATAAGTTGGACACCTTAAAGATGCACCAGTCAACTTCGCTCTTTGTTATAAGTTGGACACCTCAAAGATGCACCAGTCAACTTCTCACTAAGGAACATTAAAGGTCTTTGATTTTGTATTATACGACACTGATCCCTACTCTACTAGCATCACATTCAATTTCAAAAGTTAACTCAAGATTAGGTAATGCAAGCTAGGGAGCAGAACTTAATTTTTCTTTCAAAGCGTTAAAAGCAAGTTCTTGATCTTTTTTCCATACAAAAGATACATTTTTCTTAACAAGTTCATTCAAGGGTGAAGCAATTGTACTAAAATTCTTAATGAACCCATGGTAGAAACTTGCACGACCATGAAAACTTCTTACCTCACTTATACTTTTAGGTGTAGGCCAATATTTTATAGCCTTCACGTTCTCCTCATCAATCTCGACACCATTAGATGAAACAACAAACCCAAGAAAGTTAAATTTTCCATGAAAAAGCTACATTTCTTTAAATCTACATATAAACATTCGTTTCTCAAAGTAGTCAAAACATTACGTACGTGCGTAACATGATCATCTAACAATTTAGAGTAAACAAGCATGCCATCAAAATAAAAACCACAAACTTATCTAAGTATTCTCGTAAGACATGGTTGATTAATCTCGTGAATGTACTAGGTGCATTAGTTAATCCAAAAGGTATAACCAACCATTCATAAAGACCATACTTCGGTTTTAAAGCTGTTTTTCACTCATCTTCAATATGCATGCGAATTTGATGAAAACCATATTTTAAATCAATTTTAGTAAAAAGACTACATCCATGCAACTCATCAACCATATCATCTAATATAGAGAATTTGATGTCTATACTTTATAGTTATCTTGTCTATAGCCCTACAATCAACTTACATAGGCCATGAACCATCTATCTTAGGCAAAAGAATAATTGGAATAGAACAAAAACACAAACTTTTAAGTACATACCTTTTAGCAAAGAGTTCACTCACTTGCCTTTGTATCTCTTGGGCCTCCTTTGGATTAGTCCTATATGTTTAACGATTTGGAATGGACGCTCGAGGAATGAAGTCAGTCTTGTGCTCAATCCCTCTAAGTGGTGGCAAACCACTAGGCATCTCCTCAGAAAGTAAATCTTCAACATCTTGCAAAAGTAAACAAAATTACTAAGCAAAGAAAGGTTAAGCTTGTTAGTAAAGAAACAAGAACCCTTGCACATAAGTACAGTAATAGTCTGGTGAGAGAGAAAACATTCCCAGCCTCACTTGATCTAACAAACAAGCTCACTTATTTGACTTCTCTCTCTTTTTTTTTTCTCTCGTTGAGTGCTACTATCTTGTTTTTCACTTGAACTCTTTTTTTTTCTTCACTTAACTCTTTTTTTATCTCTACCTTTGCATTTGCTTTTCAAATTTTCAATGATCAATAAGGACATCTTTGGGAGACAATGGAATAAGAGTATTTTTCTACCATTGTGAGTAAAAGAGTATCAGTTTGCATAGCCATCGTACATTACCCGACGATCAAATTGTCAAAGTCTCTCTAGATCTCCAACATGCATGGATACAACATCACATAAAATATCATCAACCCATTTTTCAATAGTAAAAGAAACAAGAACTTGTCAAGTTACCCTTACTTCTCCGCAATCACTCATCTATTGAAGCTTCTATGGTCTAGGATGTGATTTTGTCTTTAAATTAAGTCTCTTGAAGCTTATAGTAATCCGCCATGGACTTGCTTTCTTTCTTCAATGCTTGAAGCTCTTGCACCATGTCCCGTTGAAAATATTTTAGAACAAAACACTTCCTCATGGACTCTTTGAAATCGTACCATGAATTGATTGGTGCTTCAAGACTTCTTCTCCTACTTGACATCAATTTATCCACCGAGTTTGAGCATATTGTTTGAATTGAGCAATGCATAATATTCCTTTCTTTTCATCACTAAAATGATGACAATTGAAAATAGACCCCAACCTTGCCTATTCAAGGTACTCCGCTTGATCGACTTTGACATAAAAATTTAAAATTTTTAATTTGACGCTCTCCACGCTACGATCAATTTCGTTCACAAGGAACTCGTTGTTGAAAATTATGATGTATTCTTCCACGGCCTCTCCCTCACATCAAGGCACGACCAACCGCATGTTGATCGTCCTCTTGTTGATCAAAACTATCTCCCTTATATTGATTTGCATGTTGTGGAGGTGGTGGAATCCTCTCTCTAGCTTGATTTTGAATCTCCAATCTTCCTATTCGATCTCTCACCTAATAAGGAAACTCTGACCAATTGGATCTAAGAACCCTCATAAGCATCTGGATATGCAAACCCGTAGTTCATAAATTCTAAAACCAACAAATAAATTTGATTTCACCCAAGAGAATTTAGACCGAAATTACCTTATTGATCAAATATGTGAGGGCAATAACATTTTTTGAGATTTGAATCACTCCACAGGTAAGATTGATCCTATCAAGCTTAAATAATTCTAAAATGAAATTTAACTATGTAAAATTGAATCACTTGACAAAGGCTCTTTTTACTTTACATGATTGTTGCCTTGATTTATATCACATTAGTTTTAGATGAAAATTGTTGACACTTTATTTAAAGAAAACATTTAAACTTTTAAAAAGATTTTAAAAAACACTCTTGAATTTTTTCAAGTTTCATTAATACTTAAACTTTTTTTAAAACTTCAAAAACAACTTTGAACTAGGTTATAAAATTACTCTGAACTTTTAAATATAACATTAAAAAGTTTGAATATAATCTATGAGGTGTCTTTTGTCCATATATTGATGATAAATAAAATTGTGTAAGTTTATTTATAAATATAAAGGGTGTTAATGTTACTTTTAAAATTTCATAGGTAGTTTTTAAATATAATACTCACGACTATTTTTTTTTTATTTTTTAAAAAAGTTGAAAGGTATTAATGAAACTTTTCAAATTTTAAAGATATTTTAAAACAAATAACTTAGATGGTAAATGTATGTTTTAGATGTTATTAAAAGTTTAAAAAAGCACCTATACTTAAAACAAACTCGAATCTAAAAAGAATTACTTAAAGTCTCCAACTCAGTTGACTCGTCACCTCGGTTGATCTGCATCATATCTATCTGAAAAGAAAAACTAAAATAATTTTGATGAGTAATTAATTTATTGAGTAAGTAGCTAACTTGCCTTTCACAAGTTTTATTACTGTCTCTCCAGCTATTTAAGTTTTATTCACCCACGATTCCTAGTTTCTTTTACTAGGATCTTTGGTCCATTAAGAG